CACCGAGGGTTCCCAAAGGGAGCTCCCCAGCTGTACTGAAGCATTAAAAGATCAGCTGGGATCAGGCAGTTCCCTGGGGCCAGGAGGCGCGTCTGTGCAGCTTCTTCCTACCGCCCTAATGGAGCAGAGGAAGTTTTCAGAATCCCCTGGAGGAAGTGCCCTGGGGCTCTTTGTTTGGAAACATTCTCGGATCCTCAGGTGTCTCGGGCACTTCCTCTCTCCAGAGGCCATTCTCCAAGCACAATTTTTGCACATGACTTTAGTTCTTTTATTATTATTTTTTCTCCAGGGGGTGTAGTTCCCGGGACTGTGAACTGTTGAATAGGGAGGGGCCTGTTTCCCCGCAGGCACAGATATTGGGGGGTGAACTGCGGGCTCTTCCGCCCAGGTCCGTCTAGACTCTTGAAGGGTCTTCTGGGCCTTCCAAGAGGCTCCGGAAACAGGCTGCAGTCTGGCCCCTGACTTCCCTTCACACGTGCCCCAGGGGCCGACAGAGAAGTTGATGAAAGATGGGGGACGGGAGAGGCCTCATCCAAGGGGGACCGGGTTGGGGCAGATCAGTGCCATTGGCCTGGGAGTCTGTGTCCCTGGGGCCTGAGCCGCGGATAGGAGCAGGGATCTTGGAGGCAGCGAAACGCGAGGGGCGGGCGGGGCGGGCGGGGCGGGCGGGGCGAGCCCGACCGGGTCGCGCAGCCCCAGGGTGGGGTCGCTGGGCAAGGGGTAGGGAGGTGGGGGGAATCTTGGCCAGGCCGGTGGAGGGCGCGGGCCTCGAAAGAGCCGGCCGCCCGGCCCATCCGCCCCGTCGCCTCGCGGACGGCCCCTCCGCGGCGCGGCTAGGCCCATGGCCCCAACCTACCGGCGCCGCCGCGGGGACCCAGGACGCGCCTCTGCGCCGCCTCCGCTGCTCCAACATGGCCGCCCGCTGCGCACCGGAAGTGCGCTGCACTTCCGCTTCCGGGACCTGGCCCGCCCCAGTGACCCTTGACCCCCCGAGACCCTGTTTCCCCCAAAGTCTAGGGACAGGGCAGGTGGGTACCAAGGAAGGCTTCCTGGAGGAGGCGGCAGCGGGAAATGCTCTAAATCCATCCGGACCTGTGCAGAAGTCTGAGGAGCAGAGGTGCAACTCAGACCACTCCCAGACAGGGCTGCTAGGACTGGATTAGGGCCTGACACCCCCTTTGAGGGACCTGGTGGCGCAGCAACATCTGGGAGGGATTCCCTGCAAGCTCCAAGCCCTCCTCCAGGCTCTGGTCCTCCCATAGCCACAGACAGGGCCTACCTCTGTCCCAAGTTCCTGACCAGAAGGAAAGAGAAATGCCCCTTGCCTGCCTGTGAGTGTTGCAGGGGTATCTCCTCAAGGGCAGCAGGCCCTCCAATCTTCCCAAGAATGAGGCCTGCATGTGGGATGAAAGGTTGATGTACACACACATGCTGCACACAATCCCAAAGCTGGGCATGTCCAATCTGAGAGTCCTAGCATACCAGTGTACTTGCCTACGAATATGTGCATGGGTGTGGTGGGAGAACCCTTGCCCAGCCTCAGCCCCTTCAATGGCAGGAAGTCCTGCCTCCAGTCTTAACTCTGCCCAGAATCCTTATCCTTTTGCCTAGGAGACTGGGACCTCAATCTTGCTACCTGTGCCCTGGGGTCAGCAGAGGGCTGGTGGTTACAGGGCCCACTGCCCAAGCAGCATCAGCTGTGAGAACAGATTGAAATGAGCCCTTGAAGTCCAAGAGGTCAGACTCTGACCATAGGCCCCTCTTTGCACCCCCCACCCCCCACCCCCACCCAAGTCCAGGCTGGGAGCCAGCATGGAAGCTCTGGTTTCAAGATGAGATAATGGGGACATATGCTCTTCAGTCAGAGCCTGAACTAGGAGGCAGAAATATTGCCACAACACTTGGATCCTGATATGTACAATGGTGCCATATTTGGTAGCTGAGGGGTAGGTGAAAGCCTGTGGATGGGTGGGTGGATGCTTCATTTAGGGACTGGTTAATAGCTTTTCTCCCTCCCTGTATGACCTCATTATCCTCAGGCTTGTTCTACATTTCTGCTGATTTAAGAAAGTCTGGACACCCCTAAAGAGAAACACCCAATGCACCCTAGGCCTCATCTGGTAACTCTGAGCTTCCCAGGACCTCAGCACTGATAGGAGGTCCTCAGTACCTTTGAGCATAGCCAAGGTGTCCAACAGTAAAATGCAAACTCTCCTCCTCCTTTGAGGTCCGTGCTTCTAGCCCTTCATTCTGTTAGAAAGAAGGGAAATGTGGAGTCCCAAGGTTCAGGGTCTCCTGGAACAATCAGGAAGTCCCACCTTAGTATGCCCAGTCCTCAACTGTGGGTGAGTCCAGTATCTGACCCATCTACGGTTAAGAATTAGCTGCCACTCTCAGGACAAATATCACCTCATCTTCTGTGCCAGTTGTCTTCCACAGCTTCTCCAAAGCCAGCAGTGTTGACCTCCCATGTTTAGGGGGAGGCCAGGAGTGTGTAAACAGAAGCCAGTCCCATGAAGAGTCAGAGCCAAGCTTCCAGGGATGGCATGGATTCAGGTGTGTCCTGGAAAGGGGAATCCCTCTCTGGTGATGTCCAGCCCAGAGTTCAGTACAAAAATAGAGGACCAGGTAGGGCAGGCCCATCCCCAGGCTGTATTCCTTGCAGACATTAGAACTGGGGGGATAGTAGGGTTAGGGTCAGCGTCATGGGTACCTAGCATCCTGAGGGGGAAGATGAACCTTCTTCTGCCTCTTGGTGCTCAGTATGTTCCAGACAGAACTCTGGGAGCAAAGTATGACTTCACCTGGATTTTGGTGGATGCTGACCCTGTAGGCATAACAGGGATTAGAAAGGATGAAGTTTGTAGAGACAACAGGGTCATCCCAGGACCCAGCCCTTGCTCTCCATTTGGCACCTTTTGCAGCCCTGAGTGATGGACCTTAGACCCATTTCCACCTGACCAGAGAGATCTAGTGGAAATCTAGTTGTGAGTGAGACCAGTGGGCCTGGGGGGGATCACCAGGAGGGAGTTTATGTGACAAGGAGAAAAACCAAGGCTGGATCTTGAGGAGCTACTTCCTGGGGAGAAGAGGAAGCAAGGCCTTCAAAAGACGCTGAGAAGCAGGACGAATTTGAGCAGAGGTGCCAAGGTCACAAGAAATGAGCTTTGAAGATGTCAGCAAGATTTCAGTTATGACAAAGACCATAGGGACCTGTAGTATGGTGTTCCATAGTGACTTTGGCAAGAGCAGTTTTGGGGGAGCAGTGGACATAGGGTAGCAGATATGAAGGTGACTGGAGGGGAGGAAAGGGAGACTGGAGGGACTGAGCATACTGGGAGTATCTCAAGGTAGGAAGATTTTAAGTGCTTAATTGGTGGAGAGGGGGAAAGGTCTAGAAAGAGAAGAGTGGTAAATGTAAGGGGTTTTGCAGAGCAGTGTGAACACCCTGTAGAGGAAGATACCGGTGCCCTAAGTGAAGAGGAAGTTGGGAGCAGAGTCCACGTGTCCATCTGTCTGTTTACTGATTTGCCTGTGACTATGGGTCGATGCACCCAGCTCTGACCACGGATGGAAGCCTTCTAGCTAGATTCTGTAACTGGCCTTGGTACGACCATTTCCATGGAGGCCTTCCAACTCCAATTGCCAGCCTGTAAAAGAGGCTGGATACCCTCTCTGGTCATGAAAAGGCTCTGCCCACACTCACAGTTGGCTTCAGAAGTTAGGCTAACCAAGGAGTTAATGCCCCCAAGCAGCTCTCAATCCATGACTGATGGAGATTTGAGAATGAATTCCTCAAGCAACCTTTGCTCTGGGAAGCAACCCAGAATGATTCGGTCCCAGTTACCCACAGTGGTAACTTGCTTGATGACACAGCCTTTATTGGCTGCTTTCTCTTTTTGCTACTCCTCCTCTGGTGTGTCCTGGCCTCACCTCCCACATTAACTGTAGGTACTGGTATCTTCGTTTCCAGATGTGCTTCTGGGGAAAGTGAGACACACACCGTCCATGAAAGAGGGACAAGATAGTAGCAAGCACAGACAACCACAAGGAATTCTCCTAGGTGACCGCCAACCTGCACAAACATTCTGGCAGCTCGCAGACTTAACCGATACTCTGAATATCCTGAAGATAGGCTGGGCTAGGGCCAGGGTCTGAAATAGATAGGGCTCCTGTCACACCAGTTTGCTCTCACCTGATCCCAGAGTTGGCCACAGGCAGGCCCAGGACCCTGGACATGAATAGTCACAAAATGTCTTGGGTTCTTAGTAGTCCAAGCCTCAGGCCCTACAGAGTGACCTGCATGGGAGGTCCCCTGGCCTCTGACTCTTGAAGCTCATCTCTGACTCTTGAAGCTCATCTCGGAGCTCATCCCATACCCTCCCAGCAAGAACTTCCCCCACACAGACCTGTGGGAGGGACTCAGTCAGGCACTGAGGCCGGCACTGCCTGCTCCTCCATCCCCTGCTAGCCTCTATGTCCACCGTAAGACCTCTTCCTTGTCTTGCTATGTGCCTGAGGAGGTGCGACCCAGCCACCGCCCCTAACAGAGGCCCGGGCCACGCCCCAAGTGGCCTCCAGGGGGCGCCGCCGAGAAGCCTGTCTTAGAGCTCCTACGAGCTCAGTGCGGGTGGGCGGGCGCCGGCCCCTCAAGCCTGCTGGTTCTGCTGGCCCGCCCCCCGCCCCTCCACCCCGCGGGTGCTCCCAGGCTGGGTCGCGCTCAGAGCGGTCCCCCACCATACACGTGTTGTGCTGCTCAGTGCTGCCTCAGTTCTCCCCCAGCCCGAGGTCGGACTCTATAAATCCTGGGCAGGCCCAGCGTCCACATGTCCATCTGTCTGTTTACCGATTTGCCTGTGACTATGGGTAGACGCGCCCTGCTCTGGCCACGGCAGGTGCAGGGTTAAGGCGGGGGGGAGGGGGGGAGATTTTTCCGAGTCGGGAGGGGGGGACGAGGGGCGGACCCGGCCCAGCCCCGCCCCTCGCCGAGCCGAGCCGGAGCCCCGCCGGAGCCCCGCCGGAGCCCCGCCGGAGCCTGGCCTCAGCCCCAGCCAGAGCCCGCACGGAGCCGGAACGGCGGACCCCGCGTCCCGGCGGCGCCGGAGCCCCGGCCGGTGAGTCCCGCAGGAGCCGCGCTCAGGGGAAGTTTGGGGCGCGGGGCGCAGAGCCCCAAGCGCGCTCGCCGGGACCCGCCCCCCCGCCTCCCGCAGGCTGGAAGTTTGGGGCCAGGAGGCCATCACGCCGAGGGTCCCAGAAGCTTGGCCCCCGCGGGAAAGGAGAGGCTGAGGAACTTGGGGATCTGCTGTGAGGGGGTTCGGAAGTCCAGCTGCTCATTCCTACTGGAAACGCCCTGGACTATGGGAGTCTGGAGTCCTAATGGTCATGGGATCCCAAAATCATCCCCCTCCCTACTTCTGGACACCAAGGAGACGGGCCTCTGGGAACCTGGCATGGGCGAACCCCTAAGAGTAGTCCTGAAGGGGAAATGTGGGACCCTGGCGTCCAGCTCCTCCCCTCCCAAATGCCCTGATCTTGGCCTTTTGCTAGTGGGAATGGATGATCTCTATGGAACGGCCCCCAAAAGAGTTGTAAGTATACCCTGGAGTCTGATCCCTGGCTGTCCATGGCGCACTGGAAGGCAGTAAGGGGAGGGTACAGTAGGACTCTATTCGTGCAGAGCACCAGCATGAGGATTGTCAAAAGGAAGGAAGTCAACTGACCTGCTACCTCGACCTAGATCTGAAGAGAGGGAATGTTGGGTGTTCTTAGGTGAGGGCAGGGGTTGAGGGGAGAATCCCTCATGCCCCATAGGAAGGGGAGAAGTTCCCTGAATATTTGGGAATCTGCCCTCTTTCCCACCCAGGAGGGCTCTGAGCTACAGTGGTGCGCTGGTTAGCAGGGGTAGGTCAGGGGTAGGTCCTCCCTGTGCCTTTCCCACCAGTGATTTTGGGCCAGGCCTGCCCTCAGCTATAGACTGCTCAACTGTACACTGAGGGGCTGCTCAGTGGCCCTGATCCTTTGTTTTCCCTCTCTCCTCCAGGTGAAGGCAAGGTCCCTGAACTGGTCAGACACTGCCTGTGGGCCTGATAGAGTCAAGAGGAGGCCCTGTCATGCCCCTCAGTGAGGCCTGCAACCTGAGCAGATAGTATGGCCTGCCACTGGAGGTGAACACCATGGCTACAGGCGGTGGCCGGGCCTTTGCTTGGCAGGTGTTCCCACCCATGCCCACCTGCCGGGTGTACGGCACAGTGGCATACCAGGATGGGCACCTGCTAGTGTTGGGGGGCTGTGGCCGGGCCGGACTGCCCCTGGACACGGCCGAGACCCTGGACATGGCCTCACATACATGGCTTGCACTGGCCCCCCTGCCCACTGCCCGGGCTGGTGCAGCTGCTGTGGTGCTGGGCAAGCAGGTGCTAGTGGTGGGCGGTGTGGATGAGGGCCAGAGTCCTGTAGCTGCCGTGGAGGCCTTCCTGGCTGATGAGGGCCGCTGGGAGCGTCGGGCCACCCTCCCTCAGGCAGCCATGGGGGTTGCAACTGTGGAGAGAGGTGAGTGGCCTTAAGGGAGTCCCTCAGGCACCCCCGACCCTCTATTCCTTTCTGACTTGGTCCCTTACCCTCAGAGATTGGACAAGAGCTGTACATTTTGCCCGAGTGCCCTGGACACAGCTTTGACTCTTGTAAAGACCGCTCCTACCTAGGTCTGAGTTGAGCTAGCAGCGGCCTTAACTGCCCTTTCCCACTGTGAAGTGGGAGGCAGAGCCCAGGCTGGCCCCCAGCATGCTGGGAGGCCCTAACCACCTCCTTGCCCATTCCTCTTTTCTAAGGAGGGGTAGCCCAATGACTCTCAGGGTTATAAATAGTCTAGGGGAGGGGGAGGGGAGCAGGGCCTTGGCTCAGAGCCCAGTAAGTGCTTAGATTCCCTCCCCCCTCTTCCTCCCATATACACATTTACCAGGGAGCCTGAGATGGGAAGGCCAAGCTGGCCTGGGGATAGTTGCCATGGAAGCCCTCAGCTGACTGACCCATCTCCCCAAGGCCTCCAGACATACTCCCATATGACCCAGGGGGTGTAACAGGGCCAGAATCTCCTCCAGGGAAAGGATGAGATACAGAGGTGCTGGCAGGGCTTCTGGGCAGAAGGCTTGCAGCCAGCACCCCTACCGACAGGCCTAAGCCCCTCTCCTATCCCCCAGCTGATCCCCAGAGATCCCTCCCCAGGTTGAGTTCTATGCTTAATAGATCCCCATATGCCTCTCCCTGGCTTAAGCCATCCTCCAGCCTTCTTCCCCTAGAGGAGCCCCCACCTTGTGGCCTCCAGGTCTGACCACCGGTCCTGCTTGGATGCCAGACTTGGTTGCCATAGCATCTCCAGGGAGACAGAGATGAATTATAATTAGATCATCTGCCTCCTGCTCTTCACTTGGAGGGGCCCTGGCCAGAGCAGGAATCCTAGCTCTCCCAGCCCCCACTCCAGGAAGGAAGGAGGGTTTCTCTGCTGTTTGGGAGGGGTACTACAAACATGTGGGTCCCCAGCCACACCCAGGCCTGACCAGGGCAGCCGTCAGGATAGGGTGCCCTGGCCAGGCTGAGGTGCACTCTGAATTGCTCTTTTCTATGCAGATGGTATGGTGTATGCTCTGGGGGGAATGGGCCCAGACACGGCTCCCCAGGCCCAAGTTCGAGTCTATGAGCCCCGGCGGGACTGCTGGCTTTCGCTCCCCTCCATGCCCACACCCTGCTACGGGGCTTCTACCTTCCTGCACGGGAACAAGATCTATGTCCTGGGTAAGGGCCTGGGGGATATGGGAAAGGGGCTCAAAGTGCAGAAACACCTATCACCATAGGTTGGCTGGGATCAGGTTTAGCCTGAGATGGCAGGACAAGAGAAGCTTTGAGTGAGCCAGGCTTGCTTGGAGATTCTGACATCTGGTGGCCCTCCTGGGCTGGAAAACCATACCCCCGGTGCCCGAGGATCTGCAGGGTAGGGGATCCATGCTCTGGTGTGCATACAACTGGGTATGGGGGTCTAGGGTGGGTAGTGGTGAAGGCTTAGCAACCTGGTGAAGGAGGAGCCTGCTGGGCCTCCAGGCTCTTTCCCAGGTGCCCCAATTCCATTGGCAGGGGGCCGCCAGGGAAAGCTCCCAGTGACTGCTTTTGAGGCCTTTGATCTGGAGGCCTGTACCTGGACCCGGCACCCAAGCCTGCCCAGCCGCCGGGCCTTTGCTGGTTGTGCCATGGCAGAAGGCAACGTCTTCAGCCTGGGTGGCCTGCAGCAACCGGGGCCCCACAATTTCTACTCCCGCCCACACTTTGTCAACACTGTGGAGATGTTCGACCTGGAACATGGTGAGCAGTGGCTAGCCTGGGCTGTCCCCCCACTTTCCATGGGATGGAGGGGCACAGTGTATGTTGTGGGGCAGGATCTGACTTCCCCTTTCTTGCAGGGTCCTGGACCAAGCTGCCCCGCAGCCTGCGTATGAGGGATAAGAGGGCCGACTTTGTGGTTGGCTCCCTTGGGGGCCACATCATGGCCATTGGGGGCCTTGGTGAGTATCTGTGGGGCTAGGGAAAGGAACCCAAGACAGGAAGGAAGAGCCCCAAGCATGAGCACTACCTCCTGCCCTTCTGCAGGCACTCCAGGGATCAGGGCTTTGTGACCTTCCCTTTCCCAATCTGTGAAGCAGCCAGGGTATAGTCTGCTTAGCCTAATTCTTGGGGTTAGCACCTGATTGATGGCTCTGCACCAGTAGGGGCCTAGGAGACAGAAACAGGACAAGTGGCCACTAAATGAATGGACAAATAGAAATCTAAAGAAATGAACAAATGATGAATGGGGGCAGTGGGGGCAAGGCACCGGTAGCTCATCCTGGGGTGATGCCTGCTGGGCCATCTGTGGGCTCAGCAAGCAAGAGTCAGGGCCCTTGCAGCCGGGGCCCTTTACAACTTCTGTCTCCTTCCTGCAGGCAACCAGCCATGCCCTCTGGGTTCTGTGGAGGGCTTCAGCTTGGCACGGCGGCGCTGGGAGGCCCTGCCAGACATGCCCACAGCCCGCTGCTCCTGTTCTAGTCTGCAGGCTGGTCCCCGGTTGTTTGTCATTGGGGGTGTGGCCCAGGGTCCCAGCCAAGCTGTGGAGGCTCTGTGTCTGCGTGATGGGGTCTGAATGCCTGATGGGTATGTGGCAGCTGGAGCAGCACAGTGCCAGGTGCACAGGTCCGTGGCTCCTTTCGCTGCTGAAGAAGCTCATTGTGGCTCTGTGGGATGCGGGAGGCCCAAGGTCAGGTACAAAGGGTGAGGGCACTTTGTCTTTAGCGAAGGACACATCAGGACACATATGCTTATACCCACCTTTATCCCCATTCATTCATGGACCATGCCTAGCTCCACACTTGCTCTGGAACTACTGGGCCCTCTGTCCAACTGGGAAGTGGGAGGATGGGAGAGCTGGCCTCAGGCCCCACAGGATTAGTGCCTACCTGGAGTTGACCAGTCTCACCCCAGTGGCTGTTCCTGAAAAATCCTAGCTGTCAGCCTACCTTGAGGGCCTCTGTGGCCCCAGGAGAGTTCAGGGAGGTCAGAGGACACAGAGGGCGTGGAGGAGTAGTTGTAGGAACCTCCAGAGGACCAGAGGAATAGTGGCTTTGGGCCCTTTACACTGTTGACTGTGTGACCTTGAGCAAGTCATTTCACCTCTCTGTGCCTCAGCATCCTCATCCGTAAATGGGGATCTCTGAAACCTTCCTGCCCTACCTACCTCACAGGGCTGTTGTGAGGACCCAGGAAGTTCAGATGTGAAAGTAAAAGTGCTGCTAAAATCTGGTGTATGGCCCTCGGTGTGGACTCCTGTGTTGCCCCCTTACCCTCCTTCAGGGGCCTTGATTCTCCCAGGGAAGAGGGTTCAGAGTAGCTTTTTGGATCTGGCTTCTGCTCCCCAAAGTGTTCTGGTATCTTAGCCCCACCTAAGCCTTAGTTTCCTTTTTGGTGACGTAGGATGACTGCTGCCCCCACTGTTCTGGGTGTTAAAGGGCACTCACGGGATAGCCAGAGAAGAGCTCAGAAAACTACAGCAAAGCACCCCAGAGTCGGGATGACCTCCAGATTCACGTCACACAGGATCTCCTCAAAGTCTCTTCTCACCTCCGTAGGGAGGGGGTGTTCCAGTGGGGGCTGTGGCCAGGGCAGGCTCCTCCTGTCCCAGCTTAGGCAGAACTATGTGTCTTCCCACCAGACCCCTAGAGGCATGGTAGCCTCCCAGAGAAATCAGAGCTGCCAGCATTTGCCTCCTCCTCCAGTCTTTGCTGCTCACTAGAAGGGCCCACTGACTGCTTTCCCTATAGCTGCATGAGTGCAAGGGGCGCACAGCTGGGTTTACTGAAAGAATGGATTTGGGGTCCCAGAACTGATCTGCTATGACCGTGGCCATCCTCCTGGGCCCTTAAGGCTCCTGCAGGGTTTTCACTCAGTGGCAGGGTTCCCAGGGCAGCACCTCCCCTGCCCAGCACACAGGTGCCATGGGCCTCACTGCTGTCCAGCTTCTAAGAGCCTTTGGACTGCAAGCACAGAAAGGCCGCTGTGTCAGCTGTCCTTGTTTAATAATCTGGACCAGTTTAGACACTCCGAGACCCCAGCATGAAGGTAATGCTGAAGCAGCTTGGGTCTTGGGATCCCTGGGAGGTCAGGCAGTGTGTTGGTGACCGGTCCCGTATTGCTGCTGCCACAGTGGCCACCCCGGGATGGCTGGCAGAAGTTCTGCTGGTAGGTGGTGCTGGTTCGGGGAGGCTCGATCTGCACAAAGTGGATAAGGCGCTGGGGGAGGTCACTGAGTCCTGGGCCTGACCGGAAATTGGCCTGGTAGGAGGATTCAGGGGGCCGCTGCTGGCTCAACTCCAGCTCCTGGGGTGCCCAGCGCAGGAAGGTGTGCCGCTGCCACAGACGCTCCAGGTCTTTCCGCCTTCCGATTCCCTGCAGCAGGCAGTAGGGGCCCTCCTCAACGGTATGGGCCCTTGGCCCACAGTCCTGCCACCAAGCACCCCTTGGCCCCTCCTCAACCCAAGCCTACTTGGTGATGCCTGGCTCCCCTGGCCTGTACCCCAGCCTCTTTGGCATGCCTCCCCAGTCATGCCTTCCATTCCAGGGTGAAACCTCCAGAAAGCCAGTGGCCTCTAGGATATTTGCACATTGCCAGGCAAGCTAGTAGATGAAACCAAAGCAGAGGTACCTTTGTTTGGGAAATGGGTTGTTTCCCAGACAAGAGAGGTTTTCAGGAGCCCTCCCTCCCCTCAGTGTCTTATCCCCACCACCCTACCTCAACTTCAGTCTAGGCTGGGGCCCTGCCCGCTCTCCTTCCTTTCTCCAGCACTCACTTTGTCGAAAGAAGTACGGTTGTCATGCTTGGAGAACAAGTGTTGCTGTGCTGGCTCCTTTAAAGACAGTGAGAAAGAAGGTGAGTGGGGGGAAAATGATTCTCACCTACCCTTCAGATGTTACGTCAGAATGGAGGGAAGCTGCCAGGAGCCACTACCCCTAAACTGCTAAAATTGCCAAAATCCTGAAAGAGCAGCTAGAAATTAAAGCTGTCTGCCTCACTCCTAGGACATCTCCTGCTGGTATTTGCTTCCAAATCAGAAGTCTCTAGGGCTGCTGATTGAAGAAGGGGCTGAGACATCTTCGAAGACATCCTGCCACCAGAAGGGCAGTGGTTTAAGTTTCATGTCACGTCCTTTAACTCTTAGATTGTCCAGGACCAGGCTTCAATTCTTTCCTCCCCTCTGTCCACATTTAATCCTTCATCAACAACCCAAGCTCTTGGCCCTAAGTACCACCTGGAAATGGCCATTTCTCTATCTAGCTTGAGCTCTCTTCTGATCTCTAGACTCAATAGCCAAGAAGCTATTCCATATCTTCTTGTAAATGTCTTACAGGCATCTCCAACACATGAGTGAGCTCTGGATCATACCCCAACCCCAGCCCTCCAGAGCCTTCCCCAGGTCAGGTCATGGTAGCTAGATCCTGCCAAAAACCTTGGAGTCCCCTTGATTCTCTTCTTTCACATCCTATATCCAAAGTATCAGGAAATCCTGTTGATTATTCCTTCAACATATGCCCAGGATTGGACCACTCCTTAGCATGCCCACTGCTTTCCCTGATCCAAGAAGCACATTCTTCTCTTGCTTGAATTATTGCAAGAGCTTCCTACCTCGTGTCCCTACTTCCAAGCCTTCCCTTCCAGTTTATTGTTCTCTTAGCAGGTAGAATAACTCTTCTGATATGTAGATCAGATCATCTCCCTTGTTTGCTGAAAATCTACAACAGTTCCTCATGTTTGTAAAAGCCAAAGTCATCGTAGTGGTCCATGAGACCCACACAATATTGATCTCTCCATTACCAGCAACCACACTGGCATCCTTAATGCTTCTGAAACATACCAGCTATATCCACTTTGGGCCTTTGCAACACCTGGGCCTTCTGTCTGGAACTCTTCTTGTAGCTGGCCGTAGGACTCCCTCTCACTTCCCACTTGGGAGGATTTCTTCGAACACTATCAAGTGCCATCACCCCAACTCTGCATTTTCCACCTTCTGGCATACTAGGTGACTACATAGTATGATGTTGCCTAATGTTCCTGACAAGAACGTAAGCTCCTTGTAGGCAAAAATTATTGTCTGTCTTGGTCACATCTATAACTCCAACACTGAGCCCAGTGCCTGGGCAAATACATGTTTGCTGTTTAATTAAAGGACAGAGTTTAGAAAGTCCTCAGGGCATTTGCTTTGGCTCAGCTGGAGCCATAGAACCATAACCTATCCCCAGGCAGAGAAAGGCCACCCCCCGGGCCTCCAGACTTCAGTAGGAATCTTTCCTAAGACCATCCACCTTGACTTTGTGCCTGGTCTCTGGCCCTAGAGTTCCTTGTCCCCAGCCATTCAGCTTCTCCTGCTGCAGACCTGAATGAAGTGACTGATGATGAGTTCAGTCTTGGCTGGGTTGGGGTATGAGCAATGGCTAACAGCAGGTTGCTAGATAAAAGACTGGGCTTAGCTCCATCCCAGATCCCTGAATCAGAATCTTCTGTGGTATGTATCTTTAACAAGCTCCCCTAGCAGGACCTCCTGCCCTAGGCAGCTGGTGTTGGTTTCCAAGTAGAATGAAAGCTCCATGAAGGTGGGAAGCCAGCCAGCCTTACCTTTCATTCCTCATAAAGCAAGCTGACACAACAGGGATTAAAAACCCAGGACGCTTTTAGAAAAAAAAAACAGGAAAAAACTTTTAGTATTTAGAACTAGGCAAAGAGTTCTTTGACTTGATACCAAAAGCAAGAGCAATAAAAGAAAATTGATAAATTGGACCTCATCAAAAAATTTTTAAAGTTTTGCTCTGTGAAAATTTGTATAAAAAAGATGAAAAGACAAGCCACAGACTGGGAGAAAATATTTGCAAACCAAATAGCCAATAAAGGAATAATATATAAAGAATTCTCACAACTGAACAGTAAAATAACAATCCTATTAGGAAATGGGTAAACGTCAGATGCCTATTGACGGATGGATAAAGAAGTGCATGGAATGTTATGCAGCCATCAAAAATGAAATCTTGCCATTTGCAACGATATGAATGGAACTAGATATTATGCTAACGAATAAATCAATTATAGAAAGACAATTATCATATGATCTCAATGATAGGTGGAAGTCAGGAAACAAGGGAGAGGATCATAGGGGAAGAGAAAAAAAAATGAAACAAAGCAAAACCAGGGAGGGAGAAAAATCATAAGAGACTCCTAATCTTAGGAAATAAACGGGGGTTGCTGGAGGGTAAGGAGGTGGGAGAATGGGGTAAGGGGGTGATGGACATTGGGGAGGGTATGTGTTGTAATGAGCAATGGGTATTATAAAAGACTGATGAATCACAGACCTGTACCCCTGAAACAAACAATACATTTTACGTTAATTGATTGAATTTAAATAAAAAAAAGAAAATGGACAAACAAGATGAAGCCATTTCACTGAAGAGGATATACAGATGGCAAATAACACATGAAAAAATGTTCGCCATCATTAAACACTAATGAAATGCAAATTGAGATCATAATGAGATATGACATATTTATCAGAATGGCTGAAATAGAGACAGTACCAAATGTTAAGAATGCAGAGAAACTGGATCACTCATACATTGCTGATGGGAACACAAAATGGTACAGTCACTCTAAAAAACAGTTTGGCAGGGGTGCCTGGGTGGCTCAGTGGGTTAAAGCCTCTGCCTTCGGCTCAGGTCATGATCCCAGGGTCCTGGGATCGAGTCCCGCATCGGGCTCTCTGCTCAGCGGGGAGCCTGCTTCCTCCTCTCTCTCTCTGCCTGCCTCTCTGCCTACTTGTGATCTCTATCTGTCAAATAAATAAATAAAATCTTTAAAAAAAAAGAAAAAAACAGTTTGGCAGTTTTAAAAAAACTCAACATACGGCCATCATATAATCCGGCTATTGTACTCTTAGGCATTTGATCTAAAGAGAGGAAAACTTATGTTCACCCAAAAACCTATAGCAGCTTTTTTTGTAAGAGCCAAAAACTGGAACCAGCCTCGATATTTTTAATAGGTGAATGGTTACACAAACTGGCATATGCATGCTATAGAATACTACTCAGTAATGAAGAGGAATGAACCATAAATCACCTGGATGAATCTCTAGGAAATTATGTTGAGCAAGAAAAACCAATCTCCAAATATTGCATGTCATATCGTTCCATTTGTATAATATTATTGAAATGACAAAATTTTAGAAAGGGAGAAGAGGCTGGTAGTTGTCAGGGATTAGGGACAGAGAAAGGGTAGAGGAGCAGGAGGCTGCTGGTGGGTTTTGGTCATAAAAGGGCAGTACCAGGGATACTTGCGATGCTGGCCAGTATCTTAACTGTGGTGGTGGGTACACAAACATAAATAAGTGATAAAATTTTATAGGTTTTAATATATACAAGTGAGTGTAAGTAAAATGGAAACCTGAGATAGGTGGGTTGCATTAATGTCAGTGTCCTGGTTGCAGTATTATACTATAGTTTTGCAAAATGTTTTCATTGGGGGAAACTGGGAGAAGTATAGAAAGGGTCTCTATTATTTCTCACAACCGGTTACAAATTTATAGTTATTTCAGTAAAAATTTCAATTAAAAAAACCTTGGGAGTATGCAGCAAGTTCTAATTGACCCCCAAATTTCTTCTCCATCTCTATCCTTGGCTAAAAAATTGTACACAGCCCTAGAATGTGGATGCCTCTGTTGTTGGAGGCAGCTCTGACTCTGAAAACTCACTATGCATGTATTTTTGCCTTTTGATTTTTTTTATTAATCCAAAAAGCTTCATTAAGAAAAATTTAGCTTTCTGACTTTATGCTTGTGCCTTCAACACTTTCACAGTGTTATTCTGCTCCTTGGTAAGGAAAGCACACTTGATCTGGTCATAGACACACTTAGCATATAGGGAACCACTAGAGGCCCTGCTGACATGTTATTTGTTTGTTTCAGACAACCTCATATGAACTTTAGGTTTTACAACACAAACTTCTTGAAGTCAGCCTGGTCACATGCCCCATGTGGATTGTGGTGCTTTCCCAACCTTGTTGGTATAACGGTGCACAATTCTATTACCTAGGGTTCAGAACAGCTTTTTTTGTTAAAGGCTGTATTATGGGACAGCCTACGATGGTATGTCAGATTCTGGATCATTCTGAATGCCTCTAGACACCATCCCTGGAAGAGTGAAACTCACTGTTCTAATGGTGGTAGCATAATCTATTGAATTCCATTGGCTCAAATTTTGTTCTCACAATAGTGAAAGCCTGGTAAGAAGTGAAGTCATTTCCTTCCATGTAGGCAGTTCTGAGTATTCTTTTCCCTGGAAAGAATTTCACCTGCATCTTTGTTTCTAGGGATCCTTTTCAATTGAGGTGGTAAAACCCATGGTCTCTGAGCAGATGGGCTTGGGCTTGGGTTCCAGCTGAAGAGACCGTGGAGGAAAGGTAGATTTCCTGGGATGGGGCAGTAGTTGCATGTGGGAGAGCTAAGGACCCTTGTGGAGGCTGGGCATTCTGCAGTCAATAGGATGCTGAGTAAGGAGCCCCTGTGACAGACTGAGGCATGTCAGTGGTGGGACAGGGATACAACAATCATGACACTACCAGCGAAGGACCTACTCCAAACCATGAGTCCTTAGGACTCTTGTCTGACCTTAAGAACAAACAGGACCATTAAAAATAAAAGTAACCTCTTAAAAAAAGAAGAAACAAACAGGACCAGGATTACATGTCCCAAGAGTCAGGCAGGTAAGTACTAGAAATAAGTTAATCCAGTCTGGAAGAGAGAAATAAAAAGAAGAGAATTTTCTTGCATCTGAATGACACAATTTCTACCTGCCCCAAACTAAAGAAAAGTGGTGTCACATCTTGAAAAGTTTTTCAAGAAGCTGCAAGCAGCTGGTTGAAACCTGGTATCTCTTAGCTAATAGAAAATAGAAAAATAAAATGTGCACCTTCTCCAAACAGTTCCACTAATTAAAAGAGCTTTAGACATAGAAAGAGCCACCAAACTTTGCATTTATACAATCTGAGCCCAACACTCAGAGATCATGCTGTTTGGGGATGCTGGTAATGCTAGTAAATGCTTTGTGTAGCAAGTCTTCAATTAAAACATGTCCCAAAACATGTTCCCTACTTCTGTTTCTGGGGGACAGATTGAATGTTCCAGTCTTTAGGATGACAGCTGGCACTGGGCTACTACAAACACCCAGAACAAAGTCCCCGGTTTGCCTCTGTCCCTGAACTACCCAGGTCCCATTATTCTCGAGGGAGAAGTGATCCCAGATAAGTGGTCTGGAGCTGCCTTTGGACCCAGCTCTCTCAGTAGGCAATGCCAGCCCCTCCTTCCAACTGAGAATGCTAAGGAAATTCAGGCTCCATAGCATGGCGGCCTCTAAGACTCTGTTCTTGGCCTGGAAAAGCAAGTCATGGAGAATTCAGATGGCAGATCAAGCAGGATCTGGCTAGAGGCTTGGGAGCAAGAAGCTGCAGTGGGCAGAGAATGTTCCAGACACTCTTCCAGGTTCCTTTCCATGTTCTCCACTCTCCTGTTGCCCAGGGGGCTGATCTGAGTGCATTTCTCACCAGCCTGCCTTCCCTCTGGCCACTGAAAAGCCCTGGGAAGAGATGGAGGGAAGGAAGGAGAGTTCTCTTAACTCCATCTGAGACTAGCCCCCACCTGTCTATCTTTCTCCCCCCATGATCACCACTCCTCTCAGGGTAGTTGTCTCCAAACCACCCACTCCTTCTGGGTTCTAGGAGCCATACTTTCCCCTGTCCCTTTGGGCCCAATGGTACTGACCACTTGGTTGTTACCAGCCTATGATACCACGTTTACCTGAGGCCCTCACATCCAACTCCTTTGCATGTACACTCTGCTGAGTTCTCCTGTTTTGAGTGAGATTTTTATTGTTGGGACCCCAACTGATGATCAGTGCCCCCTCCTTGTTTCCAGACCTAGAAGCAGTGGAGGGTCTGGGCCCTATATATATCTCTCTCTCCTGTTCTCTGGAAGCCTTTTCCAGCTATTTCTCTCATTACTCCTTTCCAGTCCTCCTTGGCTACACATGTGGGTGGGTACCCAGCCACTTTATAGGCTGCTTCCCTCACCAGAGGAGGCCTCCTGGGCCCCTGGACTACAAGGCTGACTGTGGATTAGGCCATGAGCTTTCATGACATCAAGGAATCTGGGCTTGAGAGCAGTTGTTGGCAAAAATCAAGGCTTACTTCCTGGGTTCTGGGGGGTCTTTCCCCATGGCCACCTACCCAAACTGGGTCCTGACCTTCCATCCACCTAGAAGAAGCAATGAGCAAGACTTCCAGCTTGGTGCTAGCTCTTCTCCACCCTTTCTATAGGTGGAGAGCTGGAAATATGCTATTTCAGAGACGAGTGGCCAGGGCTCATGCATTTTCTGGGGGATAAGCTGGTCTCAGGTGTCAGTCCAGCAGTGATAGGTCTGGAGATGATGCTTTTGGGTTCCAAGAGAAATAGAAACTGGCCAGCCACCCCAGCTGCCCCCAGGGCTACCTTGTACCTGACATCGTTGCAGGAACACTGCTGGAGGTTGGGGCTTGGCTGCAAGGCGGTATTCTTGAGCGCTTTCACTCTTGAATTGGCCTCTGTAGTGCCCATAGAAGCCAGTGTTGTGCTATAATAAGGCAGGCATGAGGGTGAATCCCTCCCAAACGCTTACCCTGAGTCTCAGACCTCAGGGTCCCCAGGCCAGAGCCCTCTCCTGGGAGCTACTGTCAGAATAAAAAGAATCTGAGGAGAGACGCACATCTGTCACCTATCATTAGAACAATTGGTCTCCGGACGCCTGGGTGGCTCAGTTGGTTTAGCAACTGCCTTCGACTCAGGTCATGATCCCAGGGTCCTGGGATCGCATGCTGCTTCAGGCTTCTTACTCAGCAGGGAGATTGCTTCTCCCTCTGCCTGCCCCTCCCCCTGCTTGTGATCTCCCTCTGACAAATAAAATCTTAAAAAACAAACAAACAAAACAGTTGTCTCAGCTGTGCTGGCCCACCTAGGAGGGTTATGTATGTATGTGCCCTTTCCCTTTTTTCCTTTTTTCCATCCCTCCCCTCTTTCATAAAATCCCAATATAAGCTAGGGAGAAAATGGTGAAAGGACAGAAATATCCTGGTCCTTGTGAGACTTCCTTCTGGTGAAGGAGTGGGACACAGCAAATAAGGTCAGAGAAGAAATAACCTGATGACTAGATCAAGAGTAACAGGCAGGGGCACCTGGGTGGCTCAGTGGGTTGGGGCCTCTGCCTTCGGCTCGGGTCATGATCCCGGAGTTCTGGGATCGAGCCCTGCATCGGGCTCTCTGCTCCACTGGGAGCCTGCTTCCTCCTCTTTCTCTACCTGCCTCTCTGCCTACTTGTGATCTCTGTCTGTCAGGTAAATAAATAAAATCTTAAAAAAAAAAAAAGAGTAACAGGGAACACAGATAGCCCTTCATGATAATGAGGGTGGGACCTGAACATGAGGAGGAGTCAGGTGTGCGAGGAACAGCAGAAGAACATTCTATGTGATGGGAACAGAAAGAGCAAAGGTTCCAATGCCAGAAAGAGAGAAATGTGTTGGAAGAACAAAAAAGAACAAAAATCCTTGTGCCTAAGGGATTTTGAGCAAACTAGTCAGGTAAGGTCAAGGAAGGGCAGGCCTCACACTAGTTTAAGAATATGCATTCTCAGGGAACCTAGGTGTCTTAGTTGGTTAAGCGTCCCCCTTAGACTCAGGTCACGATCCCAGGGGCCTGGGATTGAGCCCCACATCAGGCTCCTCCCTCAATGGGGAGTCTGCTTCACCCTCTCCCTCTGCCTTCCACTTCCTCTGCTTGTACTCTCTGTCAAATAAATAAAATCTTTAAAAAAATATATTGTTTCTCTTCTAAGAGCAAAGGGAGACTTTTCAGGAGGGGAGGGAGACCAGAGAGTTTGGGTTGGGATGGTTCAGAGCACCGAGCAGAGTTTTGAGAACAGGGCCACTGACTGGTGATAGGATCCTTCCCTGGGGACTGAATGGTTCCATCCTGGGCATCTATTGACAAAACCGTGAGCACTTATTTGCCACATATCCTGCTATTCTGGGGTAAGCAGGGCACCCTCTGAAGCTGGAGCACCTAAGCAAGGGATATGCTTTTCAAAAGACGTACTTTACCAACAGGGATACCTTCTGGAGAGGATTTTAGAGACAGGGACTGACAAAAGACAGAAATGAGCATTTATGAGAGGTCTAAGAAAGAGCTACACTGTATTGGTATCATTAGGTGGATGCCCTGTGGACAGCAATGATATCTACCCAGGGAGCTCCTAGAGCCCAACTGTTTGTTCTAAGAGCTCCCTGCAAAGGATGGGTATGTCTGGTCCTCCATGATCATAGTTCTGAGCAGAAAGAATGTGACCCAAGTTTGGCCTCTGGCCATCACAGGAGCCTTCTATACATGACTGAAAAGCCCTTTATCTTTTCATCCCACTGGGGGTTTGGGTTGCCCAACTTGTCTTTTTATTAACTGTTGAACTTGCCCTCTATTCAGTTTATTTTTTATTTTATTATTAATTTTTTGCTCTCTATTTAGTTTAGTTCAATATTATTGGGCTGCCTTTACTGCATTCCAGGCATGGGACTGGGCATGGGATATACAGGTGGAAAACAGTCTTTGCCCTCAAGATGTTCCCAGCATAGAGGGCAGTCAAACTCCAGAAGTTTGGGAAGACCAAGCAAAGAACTTGGAATAAATAGGGTGGCTAGACGACTAGGAGGTTCAGCTGGTTAGCATGAGACCAGGACATAGAGGAGAGGACATGGCACCAGAAAGACTAGGTAGGTTCCAGGGGTAACCTTAGAAAGGCAGAGGGGGAGTGGGAAGTTCAGAGTCCTACATCAGCCTGGACGCTGGATGAAATCCTTCTTGCTAAATTTACTCCCATGACTCATTCAAATTTCAGGTACTACCCCAGGGCCAGGAGCAAAGATTAATTGTAAAGTGCACTCTTACCCACGAGCCTACTAAAGCACTTTGCATCTTTCCAGGAAGCAAGTAGAAAAAGCAAACTTTCCTTTTGTCTTTTTGAGGCTATGTCTGAGCAAAGAGAATCTCAACTTCTTGTTGCTTAGTGACAAAAGGAGGTTATGACTGCACAATGCTGCTGAGATCGTTGAGGCATTGCCCAGTCTGCTACCCCTTTGTGCTTCCTGCTCATTTTTACTTCTTTCTGAGAGAAATTTGCCCCTCAGCATTAACAGCCTGGATAGAGCTCTTACATATAGAAACATATACTCTACAGTAGAGTGTGATGAACTCAGTCAGTGAAATATCAAAGAACATTTTTTAAAAAAGATTATTTAGACAGAGATCACAAGTAGGCGGAGAGGCAGGCAGAGGGAGAGAGGGGGAAGTGGGCTCCCTGCTGAGCAGAGAGCCCAGACACGGGACTCAATCCCAGGACCCTGAGATCATGACCTGAGCCGAAGGCAGAGGCTTTAACCCACTGAGCCACCCAGGTGCCCCTTCAAAGAACATTTTAACAGTGAATCCTGCATTGTAAAATTGTGTAACCATATTGCCAAGAACATAAATTTAGAAAGCATTCCAGAGTCAGAAGAAATGTTAAAAGGGTTGATGCTTCTTAGGATAAAATTGCTGTTTCAGAATTAGGTTCTGTCAGATTTTCTTTTAGGAGTCTGTAGCACCTGAGAACACTGGGCAGGTGGCTGTTACCAGGGCCCCAGTATAGAAGGAAAGCATAACAGAGGAGCAAAAAAAGGAGCATGAAAATATTGTGCTTACCTTCGAAGCTGCCCTTGAGCAGATTACTGTCTTTCTCTTCCATTTGTAACACAGGATCAGGAACCCTGATCACTAACCAAAAAGAGCTGGCAATCATCCTCTAAAAATATGCCAATAAAAAGTTTAACAGCAGAAAACATTCACCCTGCTGGGGTCACTAATCTAACCCTACCAGCCAGAAAACCCACCCTTACTGTAGTTACTCTGATGACCCAACTCTCACATGTATTCACAGGTACAAAAATTTTCAATGCAGCATTTTCAGAAGGGAAAAACTGTAAGCAGCTGAGTGTTTTACCAATAGGGCAATAGGAAAGATACTTTATATACAAATATATATATCTTTAAAAAGGTGAGTCAAAAAGTCAAATCGTAGAGGGATGCCTGGGTGGTTCAGTTGGTTAAGACACTGCCTTCGGCTCAGGTCATGATCTTGGAGTTCCGGGATCAAGTCCCACATCAAGCTCCCAGCTCCACAGGGAGTCTGCTTCTCCCTCTGACCTTTTCCCCTCTCATGCCCTCTCTCTTTCTCTAATACATAAATAAAATCTTTAAAAAAAAAAAGTCAAATTGTAGAAAAATGCACCAAGTATACCACTTACAAAATGATACAATCATGCAAAACAATGCTATATATTATTTGCAGATGCAAACATTTGACCTAAAGGATAAAACATACATAGAAATGATCAGCATTAAATTCAGGATAGAAGTCCCCTGGGGAATGGTATCAGAGAAGGTAGAGTGGAGCTTCAATTCTATCTGTAATGTTTTTATTTTTCAAAGCTTTATTTAAGTATAACTAACACAATAAACCACACATATTAAGTGTACAATCTGACACATTTTGATCTATGTATACATGCATGAAACATAGCCACAATCAAGGTAGTAAACGTACCCTTCACCCCCAGGTTTCCTTCTGCCCGTTGGTAATCCTTCTCTATGGCACTCACTGGTCTCAAGCAACTGCTGGTTGACTGTTGCCATAGATTACTTTGCATTTTCTAGAATTTTATATAAATGGAATCATTTGATATGTATTCTTTGTGTCTGACTTCTTTCATGTAGCATAATTATCTTGTGTTTTATCCATGTCATGGTACCTATCAATCACTCATTCCTTTTTTTTTTTTTAAAGATTTCATTTCTTTATTTGACACACAGAGAAAGATCACAAGTAGGCAGAGAGGCAGGCAGAGAGAGAGGGGGGAAGCAGGCTCCCTGCTGAGCAGAGAGCCCAATGCGGGACTCGATCCCAGAACCCTGAGATCATGACCTGAGCGGAAGGCAGAGGCTTAACCCACTGAGCCACCCAGGCACCCTCACTCATTCCTTTTTATGGCCTAGTAGTTTTCCATTGTATGGATACACAAAGCTCTACATATATATATATTTTTTTAAATAGAATTTTAAGAGCAATTTTAGGTTCACAACAAACTTGAGTAGCAGGTGCAGAGATTTCTCGTATACCTTCTGCCCCACGTGTGTATAACCTCTCCTACCAATCTCCCCCACCAGAATAGCACATTTGTTATAATTGCTGAACCTAAAGTGACACATCTTTATCCCCCAAAGTTGATAGTTTACCTTAGAGTTCACTCTTGCAATTGTATATTCTATGAGTTTAGACAAATGTATACTGCAATTACATGTATGCACCATTAAGCTATCATACAGAATAGTTTCACTGCCTTAAAAATCCTCTGTGCTCCAGCTATACATTCCTCCTTCCCCCCCCAATCCATGGCAAACACTGATCTTTTTTACTATTTCCATAATTTTACCTTTTCCACAAGGTCCTATTGGAATCCTACAGTATATAGCCTTTTCAGATTGGCTCCTTTCACTTAGTAAAATATATTGAAGTTTCCTCTGTGTCTTTTGCTAGCTTGATAGCTCATTTCTTTTAGGGCTTCATGTTCCATTGTCTGGATTACAACAGTTTATTTATTTATTCACTTACTGAAAATGACTTCTTGGCTTCTTTTAAGATTTACAATTATGAAATAAAGCCGCTATAAATACCCACATGCAGGTTTTTGTGCAGACATAAGTTTTCAAGTCCTTTGGGTAAATACCAAAGAGCATGACTGCTGGAAGAGTATGTTCAGTTTCATAAGAAACTGCCAAACCATCTTCCAAGGTGGCTATACCATTTAGCATTCCCATTCCTCACCTGCATATGTGTTATCGGTGTTCTGGATTTTGGCCATTTGGATAGGTATGTAGTGATAGCTCATTGTTGTTTTAATTTTCATTTCCCTGATAACATATAATGTTGAGCATCTTTTCATATGCTTGCTTATTTTCTGTCTGTAGATCTTTTTTGGTGCAATGTATTAAACCCTGCATTGGCCTACTTATTTATTTATTTAGATGTGGGGAGAGAGGCAGAGGGAGAGAGAATCTTAAACAGGCTCCATGCCTATTGCAGAACTTGACACGGGGCTTGTTACAATCCTGAGAACATGACCCGAGCCAAAATCAAGAGTAGGTCACTTAGCCCACTGAAACACCCAGGCGCTCCTGGCCCATTTTAAAATTAGTGATATTCTTAAAAAATAAAAAATAAAATCAGGTGATATTCTTATTGTTGAGCTTTATCGGGTTCTTTATATATTTTGTTTCTTTATCAGATGTCTTGAATCCAAACACTAATCAGGTTTTTGTCCCCACTAAACCACTCATCAAGTTCACCCAATAATTAATTCTCACACTTCATTTTCCTTGACCTATCAGCAGCATTTGACATTGATGAAGCAGGCAGTTAGACAGGACCTGGAGGCAAAAGCTGTGATAAACAGGGGACCCATTAGAAGCCTGAGGGCACAACATCCTAACTTCATGGCTTTTAGCATCCTGGTCTTACTGCTTCCAAAACCCAGGGAATGAAGAGACCACGAGCCACAGATGTAGAACATGTGCTCTCCTTTTCAACCTCTGCTCCAGGGTGACCCCCAACGTTCATTATATTTACATTGTGATTTTTGACCCTCAGTGAGGCAAGATGGTCATGACAGTTCCAGCAAGAACCTGTAGGGCTCAGGGGCGCCTGGGTGGCTCAGTCATTAAGCGTCTGCCTTTGGGTCAGGTCATGATTCCAGGGCCCTGGCATTGAGCCTGGCATCGGGCTCCCTGCTTGGTGGGAGCCTGCTTCTCCCTCTCTCATTCCCTCCACTTGTATTCCCTTTCTTGCTTTGTCTCTATCAAATAAATAAGTAAAATCTTAAACAAAAAAATAGAACCTATAAGGCTCAAAACTCCCTCTCCTAACCAGTTGGAGGAGTCCCTTAGATTGTTTGGAAACAACCTCAGTCAGAGATCTCCCTAGCTGTAACCCATAATTTGCAAACATAAAAAGACCCCCCTAACCCCAGCACAGCTCCCATCTCTGAGCCTGCCTACTCTCCCATCCTTTTCTTTTTTTTAAGATTTCATTTATTTATTTGACAGAGAGAGAGATCACAAGTAGGCAGAGAGGCAGGCAGAGAGGGAGGGGGAAGCAGGCTCCCCACTGAGCAGAGGGCCCAATGCGGGGCTCTATCCCAGGACCCTGGGATCATGACCTGAGCTGAAGGCAGAGGCTTTAACCCACTGAGCCACCCAGGTGCCCTGTACTCTCCCATCTTAAACTTAATAAATTGCTTTGTGCTTTCTATTTTCTTTCTGGCAGCCTTTATTCGAGTGGGGATCCTCATATAAGTCTTTCATGGGGAATCCAAGAACTGAGACCTCCACACCTCCATTCTCCCACTAGTAACAACATAGCTCCTCTTTGAAGGATGGTCCAGGAGGCTTCCACAGCACGTCTCTCTCTTGGGTGTCCCTCTTCTGTCCCTGACCACACCTGCTTGGAGTCTTTTGCTGCTTTTTCCTTATGTAGGCCTCTAAAGTTGTGTGTCCTGGGGCTCAATACAATCTGTTTTCCATCCATATTCTTTCATTATCTGTTTCATGGCTTTAAAAACCATCTATAACCATCAGAGACAGAGTTACACAGACCCCTCCTCCCTATACCCTCTGCCCCTGCCCACCGTGCCCTCAGATTGTCTCAGTATCTAGCAGGCCGGGTTCCTTGCACTATTTCTTGCTTTTTTCTTCCCACCAGGCTGCCAGTTCTGTGTCCCCTTTTGACCACGGCCCCTCTCCTCCCAGCGGCTTTCCCTACCCAGGTCTTGTTAGGATCTCTTGGGCACCAGACGGTGCCCTAGCCCCTGGCACCCAGTCCACTCCACATACAGCAGGGTGGGTCAGGTAACTCCTGAGCCGGTCTGCAGTGGTGAGGGGATGCCT